GCTCAGTGGATAGCGCGTCGGCCTGCAGACTGAAGGGTCCCGGTTCGATTCCGGTCAAGGGCACATGCCCGAGTTGCGGGCTTGATCCCCAGTAGGGGGTGTGCAGGAGGCAGCCAATTAATGATGCTCCCTCATCATTGATGTTTCTATCTCTGTCCCCCTTCCCTGTCCTCTCTGAAATCAATAAAAATATATTTAAAAAAAGATAGGTACTCCTGCCTTTTTTACAGAACATAATTAGAAAGCCTTTAAAGCCCATGCAAAGACTATTTTATATAATGTCTTCGAATATCACATTCTACGATGTTAGAACAAAGTACTTGTATAGAATCTGACTTTTTAAGTTATCATTTCTTTACCTAAAATATACATATTTGGATAATTTGGCTTTCACAGCCTGGAAGGAATGGTATGCCTGCATGCTTCTAAAAAGAATTGTAGACAAAACTCATACCCCTTGCAATTTTTTTTTTGTTAAAACATAAAATTTTAATCTTAAACATAAATAGTAGCCAAGGATGTAACATGCAGAGTATCATGAAAGCATGCATTTTAAAATGTTACATTACTCTTTTAATGGTATTGAAAGAAATCTAAATTTAATGACAATTTGATACCTATCAGCATTTATTTTAAAATACATGAATAAACTAAAAGATGGAAATTTTTCTTTTGCTTTTTCTCCTTAAGTTCATAATTTTATTTTTATTCTGCTTCCTCCACAGAATTTTATTCTAATATCCAGGTTTTTCATAGATGTAAGCTGAGATACCTTGTTCATATAAAGATGCACATGAAAGTGGTTTTGTTATAGCAGTCTCTTAACTTTTAAAAAAAACTCCTTTCCACACCAGAAATCACATGGTGATCAACAAGAAAAAAATTAATGATTTATCAGCTGACAGTTTGGTTGGGTCCTCCTTTAGTTCTATTGAAAACAGAAAATTTAAAAACATCTGCTTAGCAGAATGTTATCCACTCATTAAACCTTTCTCAATTTCTGAGAAGTATATCAGTCTTAACTAAGATTCACTAAATGATTGATTAAACTTCTTGACTGAAAGTACATTTTCATAAGTACATATGAAAGTTGGAACATCTGGTCACTGATTTCCTTCACACTAATCAGGCCTGCATGTTTTAAATGTACTAGTAATCACTAATGAAATCTACAGGTAAAAGCCTGCTAGCATGATTGAGTAGAAACATTAAGGGGTGAATGTGTTTGGCCAGTTGTTTATAAAAAACTAATATAGATTGAATCAAGATATCAGCAGTCCTAGTACAGTATCTCAGAGTTGGCAAAGGGATGTTTCCAAAACAGAGAAAGATGGGGTTAGGAGGTATATGGAAACTACACTTTGTGCTCAGTTTCGAGCCTAAAACTGCTCTTAAAAAATTAAGTCTATTTAGAGGGGAAAACTACTGAGGGTAGGTGGTCAGTACTAAAGCCATGTTGCAGGAAAAAGATTTTAATCTTGATGTAAAGTAAGGGCCTTTTCTGAGGTAGGAAAATGTGTGAGTCTGAAATAATAGATTGTAGAGCGGTAATGAAGGCAGTTATAGTTAGCATGATTGTTATTAAACTGAAGGTAAGCATTACATTTTATCAGCCCCCCCAAAATTGGGGAAATTTAGAAAAATTCAAAATTTCTATTTTGCCAAGTTGATCTGAAATACCAGCCTCATTTTCACGTTAGCATGCCTATGCAGAGCCCCCTAGTGGTTTTTCATTAAAAATACTGTCAACTGGCCCTAGACCAGTGGTTCTCAACTTGTGGGTCGCGACCCCTTTGGAGGTCGAACAACCCTTTCACAGGGGTCACCTAAGACCATCAGAAAACACATATATCATTACATATTGTTTTTGTGATTAATCACTATGCTTTAATTATGTTCAATTTGTAACAATGAAATTGGGGGTCACCACAACATGAGGAACTATATTAAAGGGTCATGGCATTAGGAAGGTTGAGAACCACTGCCCTAGACATTTGGCTCAATGGATGGAATGTCTGCCCAGGGACTGAAGGGTCCTGGGTTTTATTTTGGTTAAGGGCATGTACTGGGTTGCAGGCTGGATCCCCAGCCCTGGTTGGGGCGCCTGGCCTTCGGGAGACAACCGATCAGTGTGTCTCTCTCACATTGATGTTTCTCTCTGTGTGTCTCTTCCCCTCCCTTCTACTCTCTCTAGAAATCAATGGAAAAATATCCTTGGGTGAGGATTAACAAACAAAAAATACTGGGAGATGATATAAAACTGCTCATCTCTTTCAGACTACAATCACTGATGTACTTTCACTTTAGAAAGGCCATTTCTGTTTCCCACCTTTAGAACATTCATCCTTTCCCCTCCTACCCCCCCACCCCGTTCCCATTTAAGTATTTTTTTAATAGTAACATTTGCTAAAAAACTGATAAAGAGGGAACCAGGAAATGTGAAAATCCTAACCATGACTGCCCAGCTTTTTAACAATCTCTTATTCTCTCCATCACCTTATCTGTGAAATAGTGGTAGCTATCCACCTCTGGTTATTTATTATTATGAGCATTAAAGAAGGTAATATATGAGAGCACCTTCAAAACAAAAAAGTAAAATGTATATAACTACCCATTTTTATTTCCAAAGCAGATAGTCAAATTAATTACCCTGAATAATAATTACAAAAATAGAAAGACAATCATACAGGGTATCTCGGATTCCTTCTTGCTAAGGGTGCAACGATACATCTCAACAGTGATATGGCCATTGGCACAATCTTGGAAAGAATGGTTTCTGTCTGCTGAGGAGCAGGAAAGATTTTATTTATTTCTCTACTCCCTTTGGAGTCTCATGCTGTTCATTCACCATCAGAGGTGTTAGTCAAAATACTTTCTTTTTCCTCTAGTAACAGGAAAATGATGGAGGAATTTGTGGGCTCTTGCTGTGTGAGTACATATATATACTAGGTGTACCGGTTAATAATGCGGATTTTTAATCAAAGAAAACACGATAATTTCAAGAGAAACATCAAAAGTGCTTTATTCAAAGTAATGTCTGTTGCTAGCTACACATTTCCCCCATCTTGCAGGTAATTTGTGGATACCATCCCAATAGAACTTTTCTTGTTTTGAGGCAAACCATTCAGACTCAATTTTCCACTTCTTCGTACGTTTTGAAGTGCTGCTCAGAAAGTACGTGTGCCATCGATCGGAACATGTGGTAATCTGAAGGAGCAAGGTCTGGTGAATACAGCGGGTGGGTTAATACTTCCCAGGCAAGATCTTTTAATGTGTCTTTAACTGGTTTTGAAGTGTGTGATGGTGTGTTAATCATGAAGCAAAATTACTTTGCCGTGTCTTCTAGCACATTCTGGTCCTTTCATGACCAAAGCGTGGTTCAAATTGATTATTTGTTGTTGCTAGCGATCAGTATTAACAGTTTCACCTGGTTTTAGAAGCTCATAACACACCACACCTTCCTGATCCCACCAAACGCAGAGCATTGTCTTTTTGAAGTGAGTTGGCCTTGCAGTCGATGTTGATGGTTGACCTGGATCAACCCTTGATTTTGTGCATTTGGGATTCTCAAAATAAATCCACTTTTCATCGCCAGTCACAATTCGATGCAAAAAAGACTTCCTTTCGTGCCACTGAAGCAACATTTTACTGATGACTTTTCGGTTTTCCATTTGTCTTTCGTTCAGTTGATGTGGTACCCATTTTCCTTCCTTTAAAATCTTTGCCATTGCTTATAAACGATCGGAAATTGTTTGCTGAGCAACGTTTAATATTTCTGTAAGTCATTTTTGAGTTTGACACGCATCTTCATCCAATAATGCTTGTAATTGTTGGTCTTCAAACTTTTTTGGTTGACCTGGACGTTCTTTGTCTTTCACATCGAGATAATCACTTTTAAAGCGTTTTAAACCAGCGTTCACAAGTATCTTGAGATGGAGCATGTTCACCATAAGCTTCCCGAAGTATTTAGCAGCACTTTTCTTCAAAATAAAGTAATGAATTAAAACTTCCCACAAATGCTTTTTTTGGCACGAAATTTGACATTTTTAAGCGTAAAAATATCTATGATGTTAACACCTTCAGCAAATTTGACATATGAAGTTTTGAAGCTTGTTGTCAAAACAACAAAATAGCATACATATCAAATCGCATATATATCAACATGTGTAACTCCATCTATTGAAAAAAATCCGCATTAACTGGTATACCTAGTATTTATATTTACGTGTGTATGTAATATCCCAAAAATATCCACATATTACAGTTGGCTGAATTAAAATATCATTTGGGATTGTAAATATGCTTAAACTATAAAGAACATTCACTATCTAAGTCAGTGTCTAAGCTCAAAAAGTTTCACTTCTATTCCGATTACGTTAAGTGAAAACCTGAATGATTTAACTTTCTTAAGGATGCCATCTATGTGCCTTACTGATCAAACTTTCCTTTCCTTGTTTTCCTCTTCTCTTTTCTAACTTAGCATGACAGAAAAACAGTATCAGTGGTTTCTTTTTCATGATATTAAAGGTGACCAAAAAGTACTTAATATTATCAGGCAATTAGATTTTTGCTTAAGAAAAATCACATTTATGGATGACTAAAAGGAAACATTTTCTTGGAACCTTTCCTTGTTATGGCTTCAATTACCTTAAAACAAACAAAAACTTTCAATAAGTTAAAATTCACATCTTCACAAATACTAGCATAGTCACTAAATGATATATTAACAGCAAAACAAAAAACATTAATGAAGTTGAATGTTTTATTATTAAACTTTCTTATTTTCCTGCGAGGCTGCTACTTCAGTGTATAAAAATAGCACCAGCAAACTCAGTAATTGCTAACTTAAGACAGTATTGTTCATCACGTGACACTGTAACAACAAAAACTTTTATCTATTGCCTGTTATTTCCAATGGAAAGATCATTAAGTATTGTGACCCAAATCCAGAGACCGATGTAAGCAAATCACAGTATTATATAAGGCTTAAGATAACGTTATCCTTGTAATATATAATTTTTATTACTAGATTTTACCATAGATAATTTCAGGAATTCTGAATATTATAACTGTAGCCTAGCCTAAAAACCATAGGGAGTTGTGGAAAAGATGCACATTGTATTTATCTGCCATCATTAGATGGTGAAGGGGTATTTTCATCCAGTAGCATTGTTGTAGTTTCTTTTTTCATTGGAATTATTAAATCTTCTATCCACCACTAATTTAAGACAACTATGCTAGATAAATTGTTTCAGACTACTTTATTTAGGTGGGTTCATTTTCACTCCTCAATAGATTTTATGTATTTCTCATATGCTTCTTCACTCATTAGTTCATCTAGTTCTGAAGGGTTACTCAGTGTCATCTTGATCAGCCAACCTGCAACCAAAGAAAAGTATGTTATATTCCAAATTACCTTTTTAAAGAGTTAAAGTCAAATTCATTAAAAAATGTAAAATAGTTTTATTTTAAATTAGCTTATATTTAGTATTATTTTGGATTTTTTTCAGATGCACAGCATAGTGGTTAGACAATCATATGCTTTATACAGTGATCTCCCTCTGATGTTTTGAGTACCCACCTAACATATACGCAATTATTCCATATTATTGATTGACTTGATTTCCTATGTTGATTATTTTGTAACTACTAATTAGTACTTCTTATTCTCTTGACTTTCTCACCCAACCCTCCAAATGTCTCTCTTAATCAGTCTGTTCTCTGTATCTGTGAGTTGGTTTCTATTTGTTTGTTCATTTATTTTATTTGTTAGATTCTACATGTAAGTAAAATCATATAGTATTTGTGTTTCTTTGCCTGACTTATTTCACTTAACATAATATCCTCTAGGTCCATCCATGCTGTCACAAATAAGATTTCATTCTTTTTTATGGCAGAGTAATGTATATGTGTACCACAGCTTTTTTTATCCACTCATCTATTGATGGGCACTTGTGTAAATAATGTACAATGAACATAGGGGTGCATATATTCTTTTGAATTAATATTTTGGGTTTCTTTGGCTATACACCCAGAAGTGCAATTGTTGGCTCATTAGGTAGTTCCATTTTTAATTTTTTGAGGAACCTCCATACTGTTTTCCATGGTGGCTGCACCAATCTGCATTCCCACAAACACTGCAATAGGATTCCCATTTCTCTACATCCTTACCAACACTTGTTTTAAAATAAATTCTTTAGTGCCTCAAAATTAATGTAGTAGTATTTACCTCAATGACTCATTTGTTCAAGGAATTTTAAGTTTTAACATTAAGAATTAAATTAATTTCCTTGCATATCATTATAGAAAAGATTACAACTAGAATAGATTCCACTATAATGGATTAAGGACTGTTAGATTGTAATAAGCATCAACAAATGACACTGAAAACTTTACATAGGGATCCAAGTATACAAAAGACTAGGTATATCTTTCATTAACAAGAGGAACACCAACACTGTTAACTACTGATGTGAAGGACATATAAAGTAGAGAGTTAGAAGGGCTTGGTGACAGGCAACAGAGAACTACAACCTAATCCTAATTTTACCATTTATGGATGTGTTACCTTAACAGATAAATCCTTTCTGGGCCTCATTTCATCTACAAAATGAAGAAAATTGCTACTAGCCCACCTCACTGAGTAATTATAAAGATGAATATGTGAGAAAACTGAAAATTAATGAAATAAGTATTATTCTATTATCACCTACATCACAATATAGACACTTTATGTTTGAAGAAGTAAATACTTTGCAAATGTTTAATACTAAGAACCCTGTAAAACAAGGCCATGCTTTATTTTATCAACAAAGATCTTAATAAACATAACCTTAGATATTCAGCTAATCTGTGCTTTATTAAAAGCAGAACATCTCTATTTAGTACCAAAAAATGCAAAGAGATAAAGTCACAATTCGCTAAATCTTGCTTTTCACTCTAGATTAACAACTTACCGTCTTCATAACAAGATTTGTTGACAAGTCCTGGATTTTCTACAAGCGCTGTATTAATTTCAGTTACTTCTCCTGACAGAGGAGAATAGAGTTCACTAGCAGCTTTCACACTTTCCAAAGCACCAAACTCATCTAAATTAAGAAAATGAAAGAAAATATTAAATGTCAAAAGTTAATGACCTAAAAATGCCAATATAGAAAATTGGTCACTTCAAGTTCAGTCATGATAAAATTCCAAGTATCTTTATTTAAAAATAAAATCGTAGATTTTGTCATGTTTGTATCATCTATGAGAAGGGTATCAATATCCTCAATAAAGCAGACCTATTTCTGTATTTAGACAGAATAAACAAATGGTGATGTATCTGAATACCAGAAGTGCTTGAATTCACTAAAACTCAATCTTCTTTAAATTTACTATGGCTCAGAAAAAAAAAAAATTCAGAAGATTCCAGTAGCAGTAAAGTACCTCAGACCAACCTTTCTACAGATACACCAAAACAAAAAACAAAAAAACAATTACATGAAGTATCCGTAGGATAACCAAAAGGAGAGTTAATATTTGGAAGAAAAAAAAAAGGGACCCAAACTGAGATCTTCTTTTATACAATGCATACACTGATAACACCATGCTATCCAAAGACCACAGTGTAATTAGAACACAAATAGAAAACCAGTATTATTTCTTTAAAGGGTCAAAGGGTGAAGTATGGGGCTGCCAAGGTGGCTGGAAAATGAGGATTTCCTTGAAAGAAAGGAGGATGGAAAAGAGAAAAAGTAGTCAGCAGAAAGATCCCCAAACGACCTACAGACCCACCTGATAGAATTACCAGAGAACCTTAAAATAGCTATTATAAGCATATTAAAAGACTTTTTAAAAAAGATCATAATAAATGAACATATGGAGGAATACTTGTAAATAAATAGAAATTTTAAAATGGACTTTTTAGAACTGAAAGTAAACTACATAAAACAAAATATCCCCTGAATGGTATAAACAGCAGACTGGATATAGTAAAACAAAGGATCAGTGAACATGAAGAATGATAATCTGAAATTAACCAATCTAAAAAACAGATAAAAAAAAAAAAAAAAGGCTGGCTCTAGCTGGTTTGGCTCAGTGGATAAAGCATCAGACTGAAGGGTCCCAGGTTCCATTCCTATGAAGGGCACGTGCCCAGGTTGCAAGGTTGATCTCCAGTAGAGGTGTGTAAGAGGCGGCCAATCAGTGATTCTCATCATTGATGTTTCAATCTCTCTCCTATCTTCCTCTCTGAAATCAATAAAAAAATATATTTTTTAAAAAGGCTGAAAAATTAATAGAGCCTTAGTCACCTATAAGACGATATCCAGTGGTCTGAAGTGAATAATGAGAATACAACATACCAAAATATTTGGGACACTAGAGGCCCGGTGCACGAAATTTGTGCACAGGTAGGGTCCTTAGGCGTGGCCAGCATTCAGGGCCAATCGGGGCCTTCCAGCTGCTGGCTGGAGCCTTCCTTCTGCACTGCCCCCTGGTGGTCTGTGCACATCATAGCGAGCGGTCGAACTCCTGGTTGGTTGAACTCCCGAGGGGACAATTTGCATATTAGCCTTTTATTATATAGGATAGCTAAAATGGTGCTTAGAAGGAGATTAATGTCTTTAGCTTTTGTTTAAAAAGAACATCTTGACTATACAATCAGTCTGCAGAGGTGGGTCTCTGGAGGCTTTGAGTCTTTGCCTAATCAAATTAGTCAGAAACAGCATTATACACTGTCCTGTACTGAAGATTGGGAGGTATAACAGATCTACCTAATACATAGTCACAAACACATACAGGCAACCAAAATAGGGAGACAAAAAACCCCCAAAATAAAACAAAACCCCAAATGAAAGAACAAGAGAATTCTCCAGAAGAAGCGCTAAATGAAATGGAGATAAGAAATTTATCAGACATAGAGTTGAGAATAAAGATGCTTAACAGCATGAGAAAACATATAAAGAACAACATAGCACTAATAAAGAACAATGGAAAGAACACACAGTAGATAGGGGAAGCTGAGGATTGGATTAGTAAATTAGAAGACAGTAGAAAAAAAATCACTCAATCAGAGAACCAAAAAGTAAAAAACAGGACAGCTTAAGGGAGCTGTTGGGATATGTAACAATATCCACATAACAGATGTGCCAGAAGGGGAAGAAAGGGAGCAAGGGATAGAGAACGTGTTTGAAGAAATGATAGAAAACTTCCCTAACTTGGTGAAGGAAAAAGTCATAAAGTTCAGGAGGCACAGAGTGTCCCAAACAGGCCCATGCCCAGGCACATCATAATTAAAATGCCAAAAATTAAAGACAAAGAGAGAATATGAAAGGCAGCAAGAGAAAAGCAACCATAAGGCTGTCAGATGTTTTCTCATCAGAAACTCTACAGGCCAGAAGGGAATGGCATGAAGTATTCAAGGTAATGAAAAGCAAGGATTTGAAACCAAGATTACTATATCCAGCAAGGCTATTATTCAAAACAGATGGTGATGCCCTAGCCAGTGTGGCTCAGTGGATAGAGCGTTGGCCTGCGAACTAAAAGGTCCCAGGTTCGATTCTGGTCAAGGGCACATGCCCGGATTGTGGGCTTGATCCCCAGTGGGGGACTTGCAGGAGGCAGCCGATCCATGATTCTCATTGTGGATGTTTCTATCTCTCCCTCCTTCTTCCTTCCTCTCTGAAATCAATAAAAATATATTAAAAAAATAAAAAATAGATGGTGAAATAAAAAGCTTCCCAGATAAAAAAAGGCAAAAGGCGTTTATTACCACCAAACCAGCACTGCATGAGATGCTAAAGGGATTGCTATAATGAGAATAATAAAGAGACAGTGAAACATAGGCATAAATAATTAAAATGGCAACAAATAAGTACCTATCCTATATAATAAAGAGGTAATATGCAAATTGACCATCACTCCAACACACAAGATGGCCGCCCCCATGTGGTCACAAGATGGCCTGCAAGGGAGGGCAGTTGGGGGCAACCAGGCCTGCAGGGGAGGGCAGTTGGGGGAAATCAGGCCCGCAGGAAAGGGCAGATGGGGGGAACCAGGCCTGCAGGAGTGGGCAGTTGGGAGCAACCAGGCCTGCAAGGGACGGCAGTTGGGGACAACCAGGCCTGCAGGGGAGGACAGATGGGGGAAAAGAAGCCTGCAGGAGTGGGCAGTTGGGGGTTACCGGGCCAGGAGGGGACAGCAGTTAGGGATGACCAGGCTGGCAGGGGATGGCAGCTGGGGGCAACCGGGCCGGCAAGGGAGGGCAGTTGGGGGCGACCGGGATGGCAAGGTAGGGCAGTTGAGGATGACCAGGCCAGCAGGGAGCAGTTAGGTGCTGATCAGGCTGGCAGGGTAGTGGTTAGGGGCAATCGGGCCAGCAGGGAGCAGTTAGGCATCAATCAGCTGCAGGGGAGTTGTTAGGGGATGATCAGGCTGGCAAAAGAAGCGGGTAGAATCAATCAGGCAAGCAAGCAGTTGCCAGCCTGCCTTCCATGTATTAAAAAAAGTATGTCTCACTGCCCGGTGGGATCGGGCCTAAACGTGCAGTCGGATATCTCCCGAGGGGTCCCAGATTGGAGAGGATGCAGTCTGGGCTGAGGGACACACCCCCTCCCATGCACGAATTTCGTGCACTGGGCCTCTAGTCTATATATATAAAAGCCAAAGCGACCGTCTGACCAGTAGCAATGATGCGCAATGACCACCAGGGGGAAGAAGCTCTGACTGGTAGCTATGACGTGCACAGACCACGAGGGGGCAGATGCTCAATGCAGGAGCTGCTGAGCGACCTCTCGCACTCTGGGTCCCCTTGGGGGATGTCAGACTTCCGGTTTCGCCCTGATCCCTGCAGGCTAGGCCAAGGGACCCCACTTGCCAGAGGGACCCCGCTCACTCTGCAGACGTCCTTCGAGCCCCAGCGCCACCCCAGGTGTCGCCAGCGCAGGAGGTTGGCTCCAGGGTGTGGCCGGCCAGTCTCACCCAGTCCCACCCCGCTGGCCACCTTTTAATTAATTTCTTTTCAATGTGCACGAATCCATGCACCAGACCTCTAGTCAATAATAACCTTAAATGTAAATGGACTAAATGCTCCAATCAAAAGACATAGGATTGCTGAATGGATACGAAAACATGACCCAATTATACGCTGTCTACAAGAGACCCACCTCAAAACAAAAGACTCAGGATGAGAGTGAAGGGATGGAAATTTTCCATGCAAATGGAAACGAGCAGGGCATTCCACAAAACTATAAAGGTCACTACTTAAAACTAAAGGTATCGATCCAACAAGAGGATATAACCCTGGTAAACATATATGCACCCAATATAGGAGCATCTAAATACATAAAAAAAACTTCTGGAAGACTTTAAGGGAGAGATCAACAGCAATACAGTCATAGTAGGGGACTTTCACATCCCACTGACTTTACTGGATAGATAGATCTGCCAGACAAAAAAATTAACAAGGAAATAGTAACTTTAAAGGACATTGGATCAGATGGATTTAATTGACATTTATAGAATATTTCACCTCAAAGCTGTAGAATATACACTCTACTCAAGTGCACATGGGTCATGCACATTCTCAAAGATAGATCATATGTTAGGACTCAAACAAGTCTATACAAATTCAAGAAGATTGAAATCATATCAAGCATCTTCTCAGATCATAATGGAATAAAATTAGAAATCAACTACAGTAAAAACACTAAAAAACATTCAAATACATGGAGGCTAAATAACATATATTAAACAATGAATGGGATACCAATGAGATCAGGAAAGAAATTAAAAACTTCCTGGAAGCAAATGAAAACGAACGTACAACAACCCAAAATTTCTGAGACATAGCAAAAGCAGTCCTGAGAGGGAAGTTCATAGCATTATAGGCCTACTTCAAAAAACAAATTAATAATAAACTATCTACAGCTTACAGAATTAGAAAGAGAACAACCAGAAAAGCCCAGAGTAAGTAGAAGGAAGGAAATAATAAAGATTAGAGCAGAAATAAATGGCATAGAGACTAGAAAAACAATACAAAGGATCAATGAAACCAAGAGCTGGTTCTTTGAAACGATATACAAGATTGATGTACCTTTAGCCAGGCTCATCAAGAAACAGAGAGGAACCAAATAACTAAAGTCAGAAACAAAAGCAGTGTGAAGTAACAACTGGCACCACAGACATACAAAGGATTGTAAGAAAATACTATGAACAACTATATGCCAACAAAGTGGATGATATGGATGACATGGACAAATTCCTAAAAAAATAGTCTTCCAAAAGCAAATCAAGAAGAATCAGAAAACGTGAATAGGCCAATAACAACTGATGAAATAGAAGCAGTAATCAGAAAACTCCCAGCGTGGCACAGTGGTTGAGCATTGACCTATGAACCAGGAGGTCACGGTTCAATTCAGGGCACATGCCTGGGTTGCAGGCTCGTTCCCTAATAAGGGGCGTGCGGGAGGCAGCTGATCAATGATTCTCTCTCATCCTTGATGTTTCTATCTCTCTCCCTTCCTCTCTAAAACCAATAAAAATATATTTTTTTAAAAAAGCTTTTCATAAAAAAAAGCTTAAAGGAATGAAAAGGTAAAACCACAAGCTATGACAAAATATTTACAAAATATATATCTGATAAAGAATTTGTATCTAGAATATATAAAGAATGCCTAGCTCTGGCCAGTGTTGCTCAGTGGTTAGAGTGCCGGCCCACACATAGAAAGGTCTCAGGTTTGATTCCTGGCCCCAATTGGGGCACATGCAGTAGGCTATCAATTGATGTTTTTTCTCACATCAATGTTTCTGTCTCTGTCTCTGTCTCTCTCCTTCCCACTCTCCCTTCCATTCTCTCTAAAATCAATGGAAAAAATCCTCCTATGAGGATAAACAAACAAAAAGAATGCCTAAAAGTCAATGGTAAAAAAAAACCCACAAAAAACGAAATTGGTAAAAGACTTGACTAGAGACTTCACAAATAAAGATGTTAGTAAAAAGCACAAAGTTGCTCAACAATAATATTCCTGAGGAAATTCAAGCTTAAACCACAATGAGATCTATAGCTTCTGGAAAACTGAGTCTCATATTGTTGATGAGAATGTAAAATGGTACAAACATGGAAAACTGCTTGGCAGTTTCTTATTAAGTTAAACTTATACCTACTCTATGAGCCAGAAATACTACTCCTGTATGTATTTACCCAAGAGAAGTGAGGACATATATTCACAAAAAGAGACATACAAAACAGTTTATAGTAGCTTTATTCATAATAACTCACAACTAGAAATAACACAAAAATCCATCAACAGGAGAAAGGATACAAATGTGTCTATTCATACAGTGGGACACTCTTCAGCAACTAAAAATTGAACTACTGCCCAGCTGGAATAGCTCAGTGGTTGAGCGTCAACCTTTGAACCAGAAGGTTACTGTTCAATTCTCTTACGCACCACTGACCAGGGCTTGAATAACTTCTATGCACCCAGGATCAATTAGAGTGCTTTTCACTCAAGTAACAGGATACTTAAAAGAGCAAGGAAGGGAGAGGGCACATGCCATGTTGAGGGCTTAATCCCTAGTGGGTGGTGCACAGGAGGCAGCTGATCAATGATTCTCTCTCATCATTGACGTTTCTATTTATCTCTCTCCCCTCCTCTCTGAAATCAATAAAAAAAACTGATCAACATGAATGAATATCAAAAATCATGACACTGGATAAAAGAAATCAGACAATTGGGAAGATTCATGCAGGATGTCATTGGATTGTATACTTAAGATCTATGAAAATACATTTTCATATGTATCAATTTAAAAATACATATTGTAGAAAGTTTTAAAAAGGCATTTTTAAGTTAAGTATATTACCAGCATATTTATATTAGTAGAATTTTTTAATGCACAAAAAGGCTCATGACACTCACTTACTATAAAGAGATATTCTGAAACTTATGGTCTGCTTGAGTAGCAGAGTGGGTACACAGTAAATAAAAGAACTTGAGAAAATGAGAACTGTGCGTTGATGTATAGAAAAAAAGATCATTAACCACACTGGGGGTTTTATGATGACATCAGAAATGGTTTCTAGGAAGCCCTTCAAAAAGAGGGATGTGATCGACCATGATGTTGAGAGACAGGAAGCAGAAAAATATCAAACAAGATAAATGATGGGGAAAGTTTAAGCAGAAAAAGAGATGGCCAATACTGTCAAAGATACTTACATTATGCTAAATTTCATTTAATACTATAACTCTATGAAGTAGATACTATTATTATTATCCTAACTTATAGATGAGACCTAGATTATGTTTGTTCCTCAAAATCACACAGCTAATATTTTGTGAGACCAGGCTTGAAAACCAGGTTCTGACCCTTTTTAGCTCATATGCTTTACTACCTCAAAGAAAAGCAGATTTTACTTTTTAAACTTAATAGGCCTCAATATGAATATGTGGAGTGGAGAGCAAAGAAGCTAACACCCATTTCCCTCTACTTCTTCCTACCTTCCATTATAATGTCTTAAAATGCTCATTATTCTCTTTGCCATCATCCTTAAAACTAGGGGTGGCAAATATATGTGCCAAATATAACCCATATCCAGCTAATGAGATGTAAGAGAATAAAAATGAAAGCCTGTCCATCTCTTCCTGCTTTTGGACATCGTCATTTGAGAATGTGACAGTGTCTAAGATTTTGCTGCCATGTTGTGAACTGTGACACTCTGAGGCAGAAAAAGTACTAAAAGAGGTCATGTCCTTCACTGAGCCACTCAACCAATCCTCTCTTCACCTATGTCCAGACCATTTGTACTAGTATAAGATATAAATCCCTAGCCCTGGTCAGTGTGGCTTTGTTGGTTGAGCATTGTCCGGTTGCATGCTTGATCCCCAGTCAGTGGAGGTGTGTGTGGGAAGCAACCAATTGATATTTCTCTCCCTCTCCCTTCCTCACTCTTTTAAATTTTTTGTTACTTGAGTGAAAAGCACTCTAATTGATCCTGGGTGCATAGAAGTTATTCAAGCCCTGGCCAGTGGTGCGTAAGAGAGGCAACTGATCTCTCTCTCTCTCTCTCTCTCTCTCTCTCTCTCTCTCTCTTCCTCCCTCCCTCCTTCCTTCCTTCCCTCCCTCCCTCCCTCCCTCTTACTCCCCTACCCCCCTCTGAAATCAGTGGAAACATCCTCTGGTGAAGATTTTTTTAAAAGTTATTTTTCAAGGTAAAGGTTAGGTAAAGAAAATTTATGGCATGAATGATGACAAACCAAGGTAAGAAAAATACTCACCTTGCTTGTTTAATTTTGTCCCAATTTCAGGCAGACTACAGTAAACAACATCTCCCAATGCTTCCTAAAAACAAACAAACAAAAAAAACTCTAAGACCCCTGTAATTTCAGATAGTTGCACAATTTTACATTTGATGGGCCACATTTTTTGTGTTTTTTTCTTACAATCCTTTAAAACACAAAACTATTCTTGGCTCAGGACCTGCAAGGAAACAGGCCACTAGCTGGACTTCCCACAGCCATAGTGACTGGTTACAAACCGTATATCCTTCAAAAGATTACTATCTCCCCTGAGAAGAATCACACTTTGCATTTTTTCACTTCTGCAGCCATTTCTCCCTCAGCATTTGCCCATTAATTCTTACCCATTAATTCTTCAACTCATAGTCACAGGCGTTATACGCCTTGAAGACCTTGACTCCAATAAGAAATTATCTCTCCATCAGGTTACCACCCACTTTACCACTCAGGTTATCCATCTTGTAATGTTTTGTATGTCATTTTCCATGTAGGTAATTACACTCATAGATAAATTCCAAGAGGTATAGACACTACACAATATTTCACAAGCACCCTGTATTGGGCTTCAGTAGGTACACAGATATACCAATGAAGATATATTTGTCATTGACTTTCAATACCTGATATGCCAACATTTCTATAAAATATTTTATATTTCCATCAGTTATCATCCCCTTCCCCCATAGTGCCTCATCTCCCAGAGATCCAGTTTAAAATTATTAACTGGTGCCGCCATTTGACTTAATGTTTTCTTTTACACAATATTTCAAATATGGGATCAGTGGGAATAGGGGAGTTAATACAGAAATAGATAGGCTAAATAAAAGGTTTCCCTCTGAGTAATCTGTGCCAATCTAGGTTTTTCCCTCTTCATCTCCCCTGGTCGTGTGTATCACTGTATCCACAAAACACTATCAACACTCTACCCTTTTGCTGCTTCTTTCCTTAACTACCCCAATATGAAACGAACACATTTCTTTCTTGAATAAGGTTTATTTCCTACCTTCAATTTTAAATGTTAACCTTTCAATATCTCTAACATACTCTCCTAACCAGGTTATGTTTTTCACTTGTTTCACTTATGATTGATGTTTCTCTAAGGGCCTGTTAAGGGCCGAAAACACTAAGGGCAGAATAAACAAATTTTAAAAGACAGAGACAACCCAATTTAGGTGAGAGCAGACTATTTTAACTATTTCGAGACAGTCCAATACCTGTGCAAAATTGCTGATTCCCACTGTTCCAATACCATTTTCTGTTGTTATCCATTCATGTTTCTCTGTGAATTTACGCACTAAAATAGAAGACCAATATTTCAGAAAAGCAGTAGCATCACTTCTTATAATGCATTTTTTATATCAATGCTGTCAAAAGGCAAAACTTTCCCAGTATTTGGTCTGACTTATTGACATTGCCTTTCAATAGTACATGCTCTGGAAAAAATAATCGTGACTAGATGGTACATCTTAAAAGTGCTATCACTTAGACAAAGATGGCTTGATGTGAACACCTTGCGCATCTTTTGGAGATTTGATTATCTGCTCTAACCTTACTTAGTCTAAATCACACACAAAAAATTTGAGGATATTTCAAATGTATACTTATCTTCTAATTGGTCTGTCTTGTAGAAAAGTCTGTCCCTCTGAAGACAGATTTGGAGTGATGAAGTTTTGGAATGAGCACAGACTGCTCATAAATTATTTAAGCTAAAAAAATAACGTGCCATTTTAAAGTTGACCTAAGACAGCTTCTGTACAAGTTGGTTGCTTGCAGGCAAAGTGGAATCTTATAGGAATGAAATTGACCTAGTAAATTACAACTTAAATAAGTTCTTAAAATTCCATTTTAATGGAATTCAGGCCTGTGTGGAAGAAATAGGCTACCATCATTTAAAGAAGCAAACTATAAGATAACAGTCACCTCAGAGCTAAGCCATGAATAGGTGGAAAGTCAAGTTCTATTGATCTTTCATTGGAAAGGTTAGCCCTTGGCTTTCTTTATGAGTTTCTCTTCAAAGATATGGTCGCCCTAGCCAGTTTGGCTCAATGGATAGAGTGTCAGCCTGCAGACTGAAGGGTCCCGCATTCGATTCTCATCAAGGGCACATGCTGGGATTGCAGGCTCGATCCCCAGTGTGGGGGGTGCAGAAGGCAGCCAATCAATGTCTCTCTTATTTCAATCTCTCTCTCCCTCTCCCTTCCTCTCTGAAATCAATAAAAAAAAGTTTATTAAAAAAAAAAGATATGGACAAATATTCAACAATTCCTGGAAGAAAGAGTGACCAAAATTTAAGATATGAAAAAAATTATTTAGGATTTAATGTTAAAAGTACTTGCTTTAAGAAATAAGTAATTAAAAAAAAAAAAAATATATATATATATATATATATATATTACTTTCCAAAATGAAGTATTTTTTCCAAAAATAATGCATCAGAAGTGAACTGGAAAATGGTTCATTAATTCCAATATTTTAAAGTAAGCCTTACTGGTTCACTCTTCTCCCTTATCCAAAGATAGTTGTACTTAAGACAGCATTAAATTGCTTTGATTATACAGCTATGATGCGCAACAGAATGTAAATAAAGTATAGCTTATTCCTTTCTTTTCCCCTTAGCATTAAAAAGCTTTTAATTTTATATTCTTCAGTGGAAAAAGTTGCAAAATCTGTCACAAAGGAATTTGCTTTACTTTGTTCCACTTCAAATAACTGAATGCTTCAGTCTATCTAATCCTTCTATTAAAAAGCTTAAGATTTGGTTCGCTGGTGTTGCGAAGTGGTTAGAGCGTTGGCCCACTGACTGAAGGGTCATGGGTTTGATTGCCAATTAAGGGCATGTACCTCAGTTGCAGGTTCAATCCCAGGCCCCACTGGGGGCTTGAGTTTGGGAGGCAGCCAATCCACGTGTGTCTGTCTCCCGTCATCCCTTTCACTCTCTGTAAAAGTCAGTGGAAAAAATATCTTCATTCCTCCAGTGAGGATTTAAAAAAAAAAGTTTAAGGTTTATACTTGATGTCCTTCCTGACTGCAACACTGTCCCACTTTTCACTTTTTCTTGACTATTTCATAGTTCAGTTTAGAAGCTCTTTCCTGCCACAAGCCTAGTCTAGCCCTTCAAGACTGGGTTCCTGGGCCCATCCAGCACATTCCCATAGCACTCTGCACTACTCTCCTCACCATAACCCCAAACACACTCATAGAACTTAACATACTACAGATACAGCCCATTTATCAATTTTCCCCAGGAACGTAGATTATAAGTACAAAGCAAACAAGTGCAGAGTTTACTTCATTTGTACTCCCATTTCTAAACAATGCTGGGCATATAGTAAACTCTTAAAAGTTGGAGTGAAGTAATTTTTAAAAGTTTAAGTAAAAGGGATTCTGAGCAAAATATCTAATATATAAAATATATAATTATTTGGCTACAACACTGAATTCTCCCTATCATTCTCTTACAACTCTAGAACAGGTTGTTTAAAACTAACATACCTTTTAAAAGGCTAGAGAACTATAAATATGACTTCTCTGAGACTATTGTCCTGATTTTGGCCTTACCATCTTACCTAATTGTAAAGATAATCTTAAGAATAAGATGGCTCTCACATTCAATTTAGCAACTGAGCAAGTAAAAGTTTAGAGGAAGAGGCAGCAACATTGCTAAGCTAAATGTGCCTAGGTCCACTTGACTTCAAGTCCATGTAAGCCTTTTTTCTAGGCCAGCCTATTTAGGTTCAATGATTAGTACAATTCTTTAACCCTTGGCCCAACAGGAAAAAAGTGGACAGGAGATTATGTAAATAATTACTTTCTTACTGAGCTTTGAGCCTCAGAAAATTAGGCGTTTTGAGAAATCTATGAAAGGTTTGTATTTCCCTAGAGGCAGCAACATTGCTCAGCTAAATGTGCTTAGGTCCACTTGTCTTCAAGTCCATTTAAGCCTTTTTTCTAGGCCAGTCTATTTAGGTTCAATGATTAGTACAATTCTTTAACCCTTGGCCCAACGGGGAAAAAAGTGGACAGGAGATTATGTAAATAATTACTTTCTTACTGAGCTTTGAGCCTCAGAAAATTAGGCGTTTTGAGTAATCTATGGAAGGTTTGTATTTCCCTTCTTTCAAAGTCACCAGGCAGATAAAATATATTAACAATTTTTATCGGTCAATTTTTTGCTATTTATTTGATTCTATGAACTAAAATTTAATAACATTTATCAAGTACTTACTATGTGCCAGGCTTTATGTACAACAGTTACATTACTATCATTTCACCCTCCCAACAACTCTGTGAGGTAAGACTATCATTTCCATTTTCCTGATGAGGGAAACTGACTCAAAGTTTTGCTCGCTTTAACTGGTAAAAAAAATCTAGATCCAGTGCTTTCACTTCAATTAATGCTCTTGCTTTAATTTTACTTTAGAGTTCTCATTGATATGATCCGTGGAGCAAACTAAAAGCCTATTATTAGTCTCCACTTTTAGGGTCCACGATGCCCACAAATGAGAGACAACCTAAGGTCAAGAAGCTTAGGGGCACTGGCCGGATTTTCCAGGAGCCAGCGGCAGACTCCTGCCCCGGACACTGCGATCACGCGTGCTCCAGGCTCCCACCCCACCCCCCTCCCGCCTCCCTAACCTGCAGGACAAAGGCTGCGGTGT